AAGTCGTCTCAAGTATATGGTGCAGAACAAACATAACCAACTCAGACAAGACATGGAAGTAATTCAATCTTTTCTTGATCATGTTGTGTGAGCAAGCCGAAAACAAACTTCTGGCTGCCTTCTATTCTGTACGTTGTAACTATTTTCGCATTCAGTTGCACGAGAGTTGGAACACATCACCTGATTTTTCTTTTTGTAACCAAGAAGAAAGTTTACGGAACACTAAGAGAACCACAAGCCCGACGTCAGACGTTAATAAAATCACAATTCGGGTCATCTACAGTATAACAAAACTTTGAACAACCTACTTTGTCACCATAATAATGGATGGATGTGAAGGGTCGTATGCGAATATTATTGCTCATAACCATATACCTCACAAACCAAAAAGTCTGATCAAATCGTATTTGGAATCAGAGTTAAGGTATAAATTTTGGTTAGTTGTGTATCAGCGAGTTGGAAATCTCTATGATGATTCAACAGCTATGTGATGTAAAGTATGTTTCTTGGATCTCTGTAAAAGCCGTATGCCTGTCGTACAGTGGTGCGAGCTGCCGCAATTTCGTTCAAGGACGATTTCGGAGTGGGTTGATAGTTGGAGATGGTAGCTGATATAATTGGTGCGTGGATACAGGGTTCTTGGCGGACTTTTAATTGGGGAGATTGGGCGGGGAGCTATGAATTGAAGGCTATAACTTGGATGCACGACCACAACTGAGAACGCGACTAGGCTGTATCTAACGATGTATCAAACCACTGATGTGTGCAGTCTCGGGGTACCCAATCCAGGAGATGGCAATTACCAGCAAAGCTGAGTTCGCCGGCAATGGCTACCATTGTTTGACTTTCCCTGGTTCGTTTCCAACCTTCAGGTGGTTGGGTGAAAAAAGTCCTTAAAGGAAATTTGTCGACTGCCATACGGAGCACATGGACGAGTTGGGCGTGATGATTTCGAAATCACACTCGAGGTTTTAGCCTGAATCGTTCAAATGTAGCACCCTGTCAGTGCCTAGCTGCCAAGCCACCCTATCGAGGCAATGGGGCTGGGATACTGCCAGGTTGCCCAAGCCTGGACAGGGGAAGTCAAGAGGCAGGGGTCGGGTTCGAACCACGAAACTTCCGATCAGTAAATTCGCGCTCTTACCACTGAGACATCTCGCTCCCTCGTGGCCGAGCAACCACAATCTACTCAGTGTGACCAGTTCATCTATCGTGAGCGAGTTATTTCTAAAACCCTCCGGCGTACTTCAGTGTCACTGATCCGATATTCCCACCAGACGCCCAGTAAATGAGTGTTGGTCTCGAAGTTGGAGTCATTCGTAGATGACAGGGCTTAAAGGACAACAGGGCTCAAGGAAGATGGTTACTCAGGTGTATTTGTGGACTTGCAAATTCCAAGTGTTTATAATAATGTTTCGTGAACACTAACACGCAAACAAAGCTACTAACCCGGCTGGACTTTCAGCCACATAATAATAGCGCTAACAGTTCTGAGAAAACCTGCCAGCAACTGCTGTGCTGCCACAAAGAATCAGAATTAGTTCCAAGCCCATCCAGCTCATAATGTGGAACATGGCTTATTTTGAATACAATAGAAAGAGAAAATCTTTATAACAAGCAAAATGAAGCAAGTGAATGCCTTTACAAAACTTATTCTCATTGGTGCCTTCTGTCTTGTTCGGAGAAAAGTAGCTAACCGTTCCAAGCTAATTGTGTCTTACGAATTCAGCAGCCTCTTGCCTTTGTTCACACCAGTTTTGGTCGCGAAACACTCCCGTGTCTGACTCAGCTAGGTTGATTCCAACCTCCCCAACCGACGATGTATCTTGATGTTCAACTCCAACATCATCCTCGGTGAAACTTTCATGGATCAGTAGGTTGAGACTGCTCCCTTTGAACGTATTGACTTGGCAGTGAGGGAGCGATTAATGCGATCTGCTGTAAGTGCTTCTCTGCCCTTTTAGTAAAAAGCCGACTAGCACAAAGCCACGCCGTACTATAGAATCGAACGAAACACCGGAACGCTACTTTGTATACTTGCCCCAGTAATAATCGGAAGAATAACTTTTCCAGGGCTCCGTTAAGAAGCCGGAGGCAACCTTGTCCAGTGAATTGTCTGGTATTTAATTTCTTGACATAAGGCTACTGAAACTCTTTGCTCACCCGTTACCGGTTTCACTCTTCTTAAAACTCATCAGATAGATGTTGACGTCGGTTTTCCATTCGCTTTGTGTTCTACTTGAGCATAAGTAGACCTATCTGATAAATATGGTAGACAATGAAATCACTAATTGACGGCTCATAATATGTCAGCTTACCTTTTTCGTGTCACCAGCATTTGCTGTTATGACTGTCCGCTATCATCACGGGTCGTACTGTTATGCAACCCGAAGGCTTACTAAACTCATTTGCATAACAATTTGGTTTTGACGGGAGACTCATCTGGAATCCAGCTGAATCTCTGACTTATGATGTTATTAAGCAAATTAATATGCTGTATCGGACAGGATATTCGAGATATTGGAATAGACTGTACAAACGTAATTCTCTATTCATAAGGCTGCTGGAAACTCTTCCACAGCTCACGACTGGAAAGTCCAAGAGAGTTAACATTATGCGCTGTGCATTACGAGTATACATACTAATTTTGTTCGTCTGTTGGATCTAGGCTCAAGACACTTAAATTCGAAAAAGTGGGTTATGCTTAGTCCCTGTCCCTCCGACCGAAAAACTAAAGTATAGAATGTGTGTAGCCCCGAGTCTGTAAATTAGATGACATACGCTGAACAGCAAGAGAAAGAAGTTAAACACAGGGTGGTCGGAGGAAATTTTTCAAGGGTCTGAGAAGCTGAAAGTCAGGGCGTAACATAAAGACCAAAAGCTGGAGAATTTGTCAAGGCACAACAATACGGTCTTTTTAGGACACATATGATCAACCGGCAAATGAGTCCTGCAGGCTAGAAACCATTCTAGTGAGATAGGTGAGAAAAAGTTCCAGACATCGACTAGGTGAATAATCTCAAAGTAGCAACTTTTAAGCGAGCTGAGAATTGTGTAAGCGCAATCAGCTGTACCAAGTGAAGCCCAACAATAAGACAATATCAATGGACAACCTAACAGCGACGGTCATCTTCAGATTGCTGTCTCCCAGTAATCCTAATAAATAGTGTGACTTTATTAATGGTGGACTGTACGGATTTCTCCAAATTCAAATTTCGCTTCACTGTTGCGGTTGCTTATGTGTATTTGTCTGTCCCCTCGGGCTATTGGGTGATTTATAGGCGTCTGTGTGTTCGCGCATGTACCAACGTGTGTCGTGGTGTTGTGTATGCAGGTGAACGCGGTCGCATTTGTGCGCCGAAGCACCGATGGCATCGTGCCAATTTTGCAACCCCATGCTCCGAAATTCACTGGTAATGGCACGGAATACAGTACTTATTGGCGAAATGCACCTATGCGGACGGAACAGTTTACCGTGAGTAACAGCGAAGTAGATGCCCACATCCGTTCGTTCGTGCACTCCCCTGCAAATTTAAACAACACATGCACACATCACATCTGAAGTGTGCGAAAACCACATGCACCCGATGGCCAGTGATTTGACAGCCCATGACCTCAAGCAACCAGATCCGGATCTATTACTGAGTTATGTGCAGCCATAGTGCGGCTGCATTAGTCTCACAAATTACACACGAGTGAGCTAATTCAGGGCACACACGACCTTAGCAATAATAGATGGCATACTGGGGGCGTTATAATCAGGCATTGCTGAATTTATATCTTTCAGCAGTGGAAGAGGAACTCTCACTTGAAAACATCAGGCTGAATTTCGCAGTAGGATTTCTTCAAAAATTCTCAACAGATCAGTCACTGGTTTCCAGACCGCTAAACAAAAAGATTGTTTGTGATTCAAAATGACGGACAGGTTCCACATGAGATGAGTGGACTGATTTTCGTACATCCTAGCTGAATAATGGGTTGTGTAGCCCGTGTACAGAACTTATGTAGTGTGACAGGAAGGTAACAATTCGAGGTAATCACTGGTTGAAGTCGCACAAATGGGTTTGCTTTTAGGCCTCGTACAACTGCTCTATCCAAGATAACACTGACCACTTTCAGGAGGGAAAACGTTTTCAACTTGACGCACAAAACCTAGTCAACAGTGGAGCGGAAGGAGGCCTAGTTTTGCCTCTAATTAGAATTCTGTTGTGCTCGTGGTACAATCAAGTGATCTGGATCAAGAGTGAAGTCACCGGTAAAGTTAACGGTCGTTCTTCGCTAACGTAAGGCTACATACCAGAGGGCGCATCCCGCCGAACGAAATTAAATATTTTGCGAAAGCCTTCGCAATTTTTACACACTCTGCGGTTGAAGTTGTATCGAGTGTTACTATAAAACGTGCCGGACTACATATTCTCGCTTATTAAAAAAGCGCTGTACCTTGTAATTATTTAGATTATTTCACTTCTGAGCTGCGTGATCGGTTTTGTGGAAAGTCACCTTTGCTTTGACTCAATTGCTACCCATTTATGCTTTACGAGTTTTAACTCACCACAGAAAACTTGGCCAAAACAACATAAATATCACCCATGGTGTTTTGCTACTGATGCTTAAAAGATCGGATAGTACAATCAGGGGAAGTTTTCACCTTTCACAGCCATAATCAATTCATTGCTAATTTTCGAATATGTGGTTATTCATCCGCTTTCCAGAACCCAAGCTAAACTTTCGGTTGCAGACTCGGGACAATAGTAGATACCTATCGTAGATTGTGGCCTATTCTACGGTACACATCGGTTTGTCGATCGGATTTGTACATGGTCAAGTGTTTGAGTTTGGTTAAAATTACAAAATATCCTCGACAAAAATATCTGTAAATTCTGCCCGAATTCACGATCTTCCCAAGTGCTTTTAAGTAGATTCCTCCAGTATACATAGTGAAACCGGGAATTTTGTAATTACTTTCAATTCACTGGTTGTCGTTCTCGCCAAACACTCACCGCAATATGCTGAGTTGCAGCCGTGTAGTTCACCCTAGCAATCTGTCAGCTCACAAATTGCCCGAACATAAAGATTACATTTAAAGTCTCTGATGTTGACAATCTTAATCAGGGTAAATTTAATCTTCTGGTAAACCCCTCAAAGAACAAAGAAATATGGTGTGCTTTTTTAGAAAATATGTTCGGCTGCAACTCCCTGTGTGCGTCTCGTTAGCAGCCTTTGGTTCTGCAAATAATCCCGAAATGCCCAAAAGTTCAATTTGGTGGAAATTCGGGGACTAGTTTCCACCGATAGGCAAGATGATGGTGAGGCAGGAAGTGGGATGCCCGGATCTCTTCACCAACCTTATAATAATAGCCTCATCAAGTCCAAGATCACTTAAAAGTTTGGGGTAATTAAGGCGCCACACTATTCCTTCTCTTGATCTTCCAGCTGCTGAGGACAATTAGTTGCAAATATATGAGTGACAAGAGAATGAATTACCTGCGTTCCGGCCCCCTGTATTTGTCAAATTTTGTCAAATTTGAAAGTTTTACCAACTCGGTTAGTTGGTTTGTCACCAGAGTAAGGTTATAAAGGTATTAAACACCCGTAACCCATAGACTTCTCCGGTCTGAGGGTGCTTAACCAGTCCTTCATTAAGACGTCCGTTAGAGTGATGATAGGATTTTTTCATCCCCGGTCCACTCATTGCACTTTTTTGTACTCGATTTTTCGCAAAGGCTCCGCTTCTCTCTAGAGTTATACACCAGATGTCGAGAAAAGGGTCTTGTTAAACGGAAGGCATTTGTTAGATCCCAAAAACGCCCAGCCGAATAATATCTTCTAGCCTTTCCTACCCGATCGACAGAGATTGGAGCTGACTTTTTCAGAAGTTACGTCAGGATTTTGTTTTGTTTGTGTATTTCCATCAATATAGCCCATTAGATCAAGTCGTACTCTATCTTTTCCTCCTTGGTAATCATACCCATGCTTGCTTCACATAAAATCTTCATTGTAGGACTCACCTACTGCATTTCAATTCACCTTCATCAACTCCAGCTGTCCTAACACTACAAAAATTTGCAACCGTTTTGTCTTGAAATAAGGCATGATTTCCCCCTTCTTCCTGGACTTCTAATCAACCAAAATTCAATGGATCTGGTATACAGTCTCGTCTGCTTTGGTACATGCTGATGTATTTACCACTAACTTTGTTTTACCATTTGGGTACCATATGTTATACAATCCCAAACTGTGACGAATAAATTGTCTGTCAATCAAACTTGACTAGTGTTATCCCAACGGGTATTGTAGGTAGACAAACAACGACCATTTGTATTTGCGAACAATTCGAAAGCATTTCCCATCAGGTGCGTCGTCACCTCCGGTGCACTAGAAGAGGGAATATAATCGCCAGTTGTTCTGTCAGCTTATTTTTTAAGCTTTAGTATCCTTTTTATCTGCCTTGGACAGGAGTAAATAATCGAATAATGAACTATTTATTCAGCCTATTCATTCGCTTCCGTCAGAGAAAAGCATCTATAAAATATGCATTGCACATTAAAAGTCATTTACCGGAAGAAGTTTACGAAAAAATTTTGTGGGTCGACTTCAACTACGTATCCCAGTGTTCTATTTTACCAAGGTTGATATACACGTAGGACTGTTAGTTTTAAATCAGTCATACACTTTGGACATACGGTTGACGGGGAGTTTGGGAAAGCGTCTACGTGATAGATCCCAAGAAGGGTGAACTTGGTCTTGGGCTATCGAGGAGCGTGTTACTGTGTGGTTTGTCATACTGTGCTATCTGAAATATACTAAACGATACTTGGAACAATAAGAGCGAGCGTAAGTGTTCGTTGTCTCCGAAGCTCCTCAAAGCATAACCAGTAAACCGTCAAGATTCTTCTGCTTCAAATTTCAGCCAGAGAACATGCAAACTGAGGGCTTATTTTAAAAAGACAGTCATCAGACCATTAATAGGATGATATGTAAAACCCGTCTGCCCACTCAGACCTGCTGTTGTATCGCATAGCAGTCTAACTTTGTTTTCTGTGAGAACACTACATCTAGTAAAACTCCAGATCTGGGTAAGCAAAAAATGCACTGGGGTCCTCGTGCTAGATACTTCAGCATGCATTCTAAAAATGTTACACTGCGTCCAAGAAAATTAGGTTTACTCTGAGGTTTGCTATATTGAGTGTGGCTGGAGGCAGTATATAGGCACTGCCTTGAGAGCCACCGATTGCTGATTATTATATTAACTTAGAAGGCTGATGGAACTGTCAATGAAAATTGCCTTTAACCGCCTCGTGTTGTGGTCATTGTCATCATTCTCATCAGAGACAGCAATAAAGCAGTGTGCTATAATATCAGGGCAGTACATTTTTATGTGGGTGACGCCATTACATGGAAAGAACAACAAAAGGCATCCGGTGCCAGCTCATGAGAAACGCCTGAGTTGTCCACCCAGATGAGCTGAAGTCACTAATATCGACCAACAATCTTTCTTTCAGTGATGGTCACGCGACGCCATCCTGGAAGGTGAATCACGGGAACAGCACAAAAAGCTTTGTAATCCTTTCTATCTCCTTCCTCTCGGTCGTAATTCGACCACATGTTGATTTGCATGAACGACTTACCTACACAACTACCTCGGCGTCCATACAAACTACGACACACAGATCGGCAGTAAACGAATAGATTTTTAGGCAAACTCTTTGCTTTTGGCACACCGATATCACACAACCATTAATGTACCATAAGAAGCGAGGCTTCATATTCAAGAATTAAATGTGGTGAACTGTGTAATAGCTAAATGAGCCTCAAATAGCTATAAGAACAGACCCAATCAAGTGAGAAAAAAACCATCAGCGACGGAATTGAAGCCCCTGTAATTGTAGGGCCTTTAAAGAAATCCACTGCCCCATTATTAGGCCTTTGCCCTTAATCTATACATGTTTTTGAATCTACTATTTTTTGAATAATGTTTTCCTCTACAAATGGTACCGAAAGTTTTCCTGGGGACTGATCTTGAGGTTCAATGCTGGCAATATGGTCTAGTAATAATCTCAAGGCCATCCACCTTAGCGTGATAGTAGGAGCATATGGAAGGCTGACGCTCAGATTATGTTTACAGTCAAGCTCAATAATCATCGTAGGCCATGTTTGATCTTTCCGCCCGTCAAAATTGCCAAAGTTTTGTCCCTCCCTTAGCGTCTTTAAGTCTAATTGCATCTGTGATCCAACTTTTCGGGCCTTGTCCATAAAAATTACCTCCACTTTTGATCAAAATATTGTCGTTTGCTGAGTGCGGGATATTTATATAATTTTTCTCATAACTTAAATAGATAAGCATATTACGATTTTTTCCTTTCTGTAGGTTCATTAATGATCTTTCTAAGAAATAACTACACGGTTCCATGGTATTGTTGGTTGTAAAATCCTCTACTAATTTAACACACTAAAGATATTGCACCATATGCTCGTGACACTGTTAGGGTAAATGCTTCATTGAAAATGTGGCACTACCCACAGTACCTGTATTTTGGAATGCAGGACAATGTCCAAGCACAAACGATCAGAATTCTATACTGGACCAAAAGCTTTACTATGTTCCTTGAAAGGATAAGATTCCAAGATCAGGTTGCCCAACAATCTATTTGCACACACAAAAGGAACTATCTAAATACCGCCGTTTCTTTGTGCCTGATTAGAAGAACCACCTGTTTTAGAGATTTTTCTGGAATACGAGCAGCCACCCAAAAAGAAAGTGCTGCCTTGTATCATTTTTGTTATTCTATCTTCAGTTGATAACGTGTGATGCAGATTTTCCGTAAAATAGAGGATAAACATGGAAGTCCACTACAGACTTAAATGCTTAATTTGTTCACAGGTGCCATGCGACTGCTTGAGTGTTCGCAAAATCAGCTTGTTTTTCCTCACTATTCACTGCATCCCTCTCATGTGGTTGGTCAACCTTGGATTTATCATGTGATCTAAGCCATCTGCGCTGAAACGGTGACCCCAAATTTCGTAAATTTTTGGATTCTCCGATGTTTATATATGGATCAGTTGTCACAATCCTGTAGGCAAAAGCAACCCAACACTGAAGAGTTGGCTTTCGCCTCGATGCCAATGAAGTGAATATTGAGAGGTTTTGCAACCGGATTGTAGAATTAATACATTGGTTTATTTTTGAAGGACAGAGCCAACCTGGTAGCCGGTATAAAAACGGAGTCGTTATTTTAAGCCGAAGTGCTGCGGGCAGTGGAGTCTCGGTCTTCAAAACCAATTTAGTGCTACCAATGGTGAAGATAATTGCAGAAACGACATACCGAAAACCATCTCTTACAGAAAGACTAACTTTGCGCTGCATTCTGAGGCTTAAAACAGGCACTCAGAGGTACAGTCTTCCGCTCCATGTTACCCGTGTGATGAAAAGTTACACGAATTGGAGTGCACATAATTTATCGAGGTAATTTCAGGAAACAGCCCCAGCGATTTTCAGCGCACCTATCACAAATACCTTTATACTGCCTGAAGAGTGTCTCCCGACAACCTATAAACTCAACTAACCAGCCATCCCCTTGCCCCCGGGGGATTCGAATATCTCACTTCCAATAGAGCGACAGTTTAGCGAACCATGCAATTCAGGTGAAATACCAAGCATACGGCTGCTGGACCGTAGTCCGGCT